TCGCACCGATGAATGTACAGAGGTGTGACAGCAGTAAGGTGTTTCCTTCAGATAAACAGCATAACAGCGATGCTCCCTTCTCACAAGAAGGGTGGGGTTAGAAAAGGTCGACCCTAAAAATGCACACCTCGCCTTATCCCACGAATTTCCGTCTCCGGTGTGTTAGCGGACATCGACTGGATTAAAGCATGCTCAATGTACGATTGCTTTGCTGCACGCTGATTGGCTAATTCTCATCCGATCAGCACTAGTCGATGCTTGGAGAATACTCTAGAATATTCTCATGTAAAAACTATAAATATACTGACGTTTTCCCTATTGTGCTTCTTACTTCCATCTAACCTTGTTATTTGGAATATAACCTCTTTCCTGTTCAACCGTGTTCTGATTTGGTGACTTGTTGAGTGAATCGGTGTCCGAGAATACTAAGCAATAGGAATAGCTGGGTCATAACCGTAAGAGAAAAATATAACACGGTGATAATGTCTCAATAAGTACCGAACTAGCACAAAAAAAGTATGTAACCAGCCTCAAGCAGTTGTCCCTTGGGCACTGCGGTCACGCTCTCAGGTCACTATGACCACCTCTAACACAATTTCCTTTTCAGGTACCTCCAGAAGAACCCTTACAAAGTGTGAGCAACCACGAAGTGATAACCGCCCTCATACCTCTAACAGAACTCAAGATCACTGTATTCATAATCAACCTCTCTCTTCAATTCCTATTACTCCTCCTATATCGACTTTCAACTCTAAACTTCCTCTTTTGGCTTCCTCCTCAAGTGTCACCATAGCCAACGATTCTAGTGCGCAAAACACTGTCCCAGGTCTACTGAGACCTCGCTCCAAACTACACATTGGAGCCTTCAACGTACGCACTCTATGTCAAACCATTCACCAGGCCTCCTTGGCTAAAACCCTAGAATCTCGTACCATTGATGTATGCTGTGTCTCCGAAACACACATACAGGATCCCAGTGTGGTCATTCACTTGACCTTACATCGACAAAAAGGGAAAGCCGACGAGATACACCCTACTTGTATCTGGCGACCAGATGGCTAGTTCTCGTGGACTGGTGTGTGTAGGCATAGCACTAAGTATGAGGGCGGAACAAGCACTACTAGTGTGGATCCCCGTTAACAGTCGTCTATGTGCTGTTCGGCTGAACGGCTCCGTAAGAACTCGGAAGGACAGGGACACACGTCGTTACCTTTTCGTCATTTCTGCCTATGCTCTCACCGACTGCAGCACGGATGAAGTAAAAGATGAATTTTACAGAAAGCTCTCTGAACTTCTTCAGAAAGCTAAACGTCCAGACATAGTACTCGTAGACGGTGACTTCAATGCCCAGATAGGTAGCACAAACCAAAAAGAAAGGCATTTAGGTGGGTATTTTGATATTCCGGCTCAGGGAACAGATAATGGTGATCATCTGCTGCAACTGTGCTCAGATAATCGTTTATTATTAGAAAACACGAATTTCAAGCATAAAGAGAGACATCGTCTAACATGGCAACACCCTACACCAAATCAACGATGGACTTAAATAGACCATACTGCCATCAGTCATCGTTGCAGAAGCTCGATAGAAGACTGCCACTAGTTCAAGAGTACATGTTTGGACTCTGATCATGCTCTAATACGAGCACGCATCTGCTTGCGCCTCACTGGACCCAGGGAAACCACATTAAGAATACCCATTAGAGTTAAACTCAGTGACAAGGAAGCCAAAAGTAGATTTCAGGAACAACTAAGGTCACACTTAGGTAGTTCTGAAAACGAGGCTGACCCAGATGTTGTTTGGAAAGATACACGGACAACTGTGGAAACAGTAACGACATCTATTAGTGATTCAAACCGAAGGGTTACGAAAAATCAATGGATTTCTACTAAGTCTATTGCATTGACAGATTCTCGTAAACTCATCCCATCAGGCCCCGAACACGATGAAGGGCGAAAACAAATCACATCTAGGTTAACCAAAGTGGACTGGCGGGTATAGGTATAGCACTACGTACGAGAGCAGACCAAGAACGATCGTGAGCAGTGATGGACAACGAAAGCAAAAGAGATGGAAAAGGCGGCGGCTATACGGAACACAAGACAGCTTTTCAGACTAGTAAAAGAAACTGGAATTAATAAGTCAAGTGTAAGTGAGAACATCTCGGAAAAAGACGACACTCATCTGCTCCCAGTCCAGACGTTTAGAACGATGGGCGGAATAATCTAAGGAGCAGTTCAGCTAAACTCCAGCTACTCTACAACTACCCACCATTCCCAGACAGTGTGAATGGAACATTGAAGTAGGTCTCCCAAATCTAGCTGAAGTTCAAAAGGCTATAGTTAATCTGAAATGAGGAAGGGCAGCTGGCCCAGATAGATTGGCTCTAGAGGTCTTTAAGTACGGTGGTCCAGTTTTGGTGGTTAAGTTGACTAATATTTTAGCTAAAATCTGGGGGTTGGACGTTATCTCATCTGACTGGTCACAATCACTTATCGTCCCAATATATAAGAGAGGGTTAAAATCATCCTGTGACAACCATAGAAGGATTAGTATGACTAACATAACATCTAACATACTAGCGTCAATAATTGTCGGTCGCCTAACTAAGACTCGTGAACTGCAAACACGAGAAAATCAGGCTGGCTTCAGACCTGGTCGTGGCTGCATCGACCACATATTCACCATTCGTCAGGTTCTAGAACATAGACAGTGTCTGTCATTGAAAGACGTACCTCAGAAGTAAATAAACCTTGTGAAGGCTCTTTACTCGAACACTACTAGTCGAGTCAGAGCTTATGGCAGACTGTCATCTGCTTTTGCAACCTCAAGTGGTGTCTGTCAAGGCTGTTCACTTTCTCCATTTTTGTGTAACTTCATCATAGACCTACTGATGGAAATAACGTTCTCGTTGACTGCATTTTTGGGAATTGATCTCCTACCAGGAGGTCAACTTATCGACTTATAATACTCAAATGAAATAGTCCTGTTTGGTTAAAACGCTGATCAAATGCAGTCTTCTGGTAGCACTGAGCAACTCTATACCAGAATGTTTGGAATGCGTTCCTCACCCTCTAAATACAAGTTGTTGCTTCAGGACTGGCCTGCATCAACACCTGAACTAAGGATAGGGAGTGAAGTTGTCGTTTGGCTTTCGCCAACTTACGTCACCTATGGCGAAGGCGAGATATCCGTCTATTAATTAAGGGACCAGTATACTTCGCGGCAGTTTGTTCCGTTCTACTTTACGGCTGCGAAATGTGGCAATTAAGAGTAGAAGATCCTCGTAAGCTACTAGTATTTGACCACAGATGCCTTAGAAAAACTGCTCGTATATGCTAGGACCACTGGGTAAGTAATAGTGAAGTTAGACACAGGGTATCAGGGAATGGTGGTAAATCAGTTGATGAGGTTGTGAATCTTCATAGACTGAGATGGTTGGGCCACGTGTTACGTATGCCTGAACACCGTTTACCACGGCGCGTAATGCTGACTAGTGTTGGAGACGGCTGGAAGAAAGACAGGGGTGGCCAAACCGAAACTCGACATCAGTCCTTGAAGTCACTAACTTCTGGTCTAAGCCATGTTCGTAGATGCAGACTACTTAATTGGGGTCTGCGTGACCATTGTAACCAATAGTTGGAGACTCTGTGACATGGCTCAGAATCCATCACAATGGCGTCGGCGTACACACTCTTTGTCTTCCCTTAAACCTTGGGATTAATATTACTTTATACCTTTCTTTCTCCCTATATCACATCCTTATATGAAACGTTTTTTTACTACCATTAAAGTAACTGCTTCTATGAATTTGTTCATCTCTTCAGTAAATCACTAGTGTGAAAGTACTAAGGTGTCCCCAAGACATTTCAGACTACTAAGTCTTGAGGTTAGATCGGACCAGCAGGTTTCCTTAAGAAATTTGATACAGACATGTCGACTATTTATTCTTTCTATTCAATGGATCATCAGGTGATTTATTATGTCAGCATATAGGAAATGTTCGAAGCAAAAATCCGGGTTATAAGAAACAGTGGAACCCAGCGACTTAGGCACAACTGGTAGTAGACTTGTATCTTGATAATAGTTTTATGCATTACATGTCTTTTTAGGTCGTACGACAATGTTTTAATTCCAAATGATGGACGACTACTAGCACCCCTTTCATCTAATCAAATTTAAGATGATACTAGTAACAGATCACCGATGACTGAAACATATACTTCCAAAAGTAAACAAACAAAATAAGGTCATATTTATCCCACTCACGAGTGTTAAACGAATTGTTATATCCGACGAAGACTATATATAGCAAAAGCAACACTAATTAGTAGCCAGTATTTATATGAAATACTGGATCCGAAACAGCAATTGAAAAGGTTGTACAAAATGACTCAGTTTGTCTCCCTTAAATTAAGTCCCTGTAATGATGGGGATAATACATCACGTAAAATTATGATGGATTATCAGTCAATTTCATTCTTTCGAGTCTACATGTGATGCAACTAGATGACTAAACCTTAAGGTAGTTGATAAAGCTGAAACTAGCTACGAAATGGAAAATACAATGAAAAGTTAAAGAACTGACTCGAAAGATCTTTGAGGAAGTGTTGATGCAATATCATTAGACAAACGGACTGAAATATTAGTTGAATTTAGACAATCTATCACAGTTTCCTATCTAATTTAGTAACAATTTTATGTCTATAGACTAAATATTAAAACGTCAATGAATTGTCAATGCAATGTCAGTAAAGAATACTCCCACAATTCAGAATAACAAGATCCTGAATTTTGATAAACATTTTAAAAATTTCTTTATTTTTTTTTTGATTAAACCATTTACCTTAAAAAAAGCTCAGCTGTTTTCCACACATTTAAAGTCGTAACAGCCAAACTTGGGAAGGGAGACTTAAATAGTGTTGTCAAATTTGGTAGGCAATGTGACAAAGTACACCTAACAATAAACCCCATTTGTACATATACACACTACAAGGATCCACTCGTTAGATGTTTAGTCTATTTGAAGTTGAGCAACAATTACAAGCTACCTCATCACACGTGATCAACATCAACTGCGCACATCCATGCAAATAAATTGTATAAAGTACCGAATATATATAACAAAAGAAAAAGCATTGCGTTATGGGAATGAAAATTATCCGTTGTAAAAGGACACCAACAAGAAAGTTCAATCGTCTTATTGATCACAGTTGACAAAAGAACAAAAGACTGGTAATGAAGAAAAATCATATTTAAGAATTACGAAAAAGTTAAAATAAATGAAGTGACCGTAAATGTATCATATTTTCAATCACCAGTTATATGCAGTTTCAGAAGTATTAAAAAATCACAATTTAACATAGTACACGTAAATAGAAGTGATCACATGGAGTCATTTGTATGTAAAGATAAAAATCCAAAAATCAATAAAAAGCATCATATTCAACATGCAAACGATTCCGACAAAAACCCAACTAATCAACGATATTCAATGGGGCACCGTAGTCAATGTTTATTCCTAGATTGGCAAAACTCTAAAAAAGATTTCGAAAAAAAATATTAGAATAATATTAGATAAAACTCAATATGAAGCACCTAGGTATGCATCAACGATAGTACATATGAAAATTCAACTTTATTAGTGTGTCTTCTCAAATTAAAAATAAATATCTTACTACACTGTGAATCACATCGACAAATTTAACAGAACATTTTTGAAGAAATATCCGACCCGTCTGCTAGAGTGTGAGAGCAATATTATTAGCGAGAATAAAAACTATGGTAGTATTCACTCTGTAATTCGCATTAATCAATTTTATTTGTTTGTTTTAATTATACTTTTCATTGTGATGACTGTTATGGGTATTAGTCCCATTTCTCTCTTCTTGCTGTGCTGAGATGATGTATGGTATCGTGGATCAATAAACATCTATGTTGAAAATGAATTTACAATCGAACAGTGAGAGTAGCAGATGAGCAAAGTAATCAATGGAATAATTACAAAATGATGAAGTATCTTGTGAAATAGATAAAAACTTCCACTTAAAAACATTGGAAAGTCAATCCAAGGTGAAAAAAGAGAAACAAATAGCTAATTTTATGTACACAATAAGCATTTGTTTTGGTTGTATATACGAAAAACATAAATCACAGTGGTATGTGAAGCCTGAAATCACTTCTCAGCAACGATTCAGAAGACACTAAGAAGAGATGGTTTGTTTGGAACTTTTTTCCATAAATGAAGTTCATACTTAAACATTAGCTTTCGTAAGTTAAAAACACTTTGCACATGCCATTACAGTTACATACATTAAGTTTCCTGTCATCATGATAGGCTATAAGAATGCGTGGAGATTATGCTGCAAGTAGGGAAGCTATTATTGTGCTTGCTGAGAGCATCTTTAAGATTAATATCATTTAATTCACGAAAATAATTAAAACAATATTACAAGGAGCAAACAAATTTACCGCAGTAAGATAATCATTAGCTGAACAAACAGTGATTTTAGGATCAATTTTCATCTGAATATCAGTTGGATATATATTATCAGATGGCTTTTCATCGGAGACAGCCAGTTTATTAAAAACGTTTCCAAGACTACCTCTATTTGAACGATTTTCATTGGATATTGTATAACTATTTTGATTTTGTGGTTGTGCTCCATTCCTATTGTGATTTATCATTTTCATTAAACGATATTCATCAGATTGCTTCTGAATTGAATGAAAGTAATCAAATAACTCATTAAAGTTGATGTACACACTAGTTATATTCTGTGCAGACTGGGGACCTTTTGAAATCCGACTACTTAAAAGAGTGGATCAATACAAAAAGAAGTGGTTTTAAAATTTATACCTTATAACAATAAATATTAGTTCAATATGGAAATCTTATTCAAGATAACTAAACCATTATACACAAATCCAATGGATAACAGTTAACTATGACAGTTTTGCTCTTATTATAGCAAACAGACTAAGCACTCAAGGGGACTCCACTTTATTAAAGCTTAGGATATCGAACTACTTTCTATTAGTAAGTAGCATAAACAGTTACCCAAATTTGTTATATAAAGTCAGTAGGAGTAAATTCATTAGGTCGCAAATGCATTTAACTTATAGCGGATTGCAGTAATGCATAAAAAGCTCAGAAATTAGGAATAAGACATACTAAATCATACAACGCAATCAAAAGTCAGAATAAAATGACTACTATTAATAGAGAATTCTTTAAACATGACATTCAATACAAAAGAATAAAAACAGTCAGTCATAACAGCAATGGGAAAATCCCTACCGTGTCTCATTAAAGGATTTAACGTCTTAAAACATTATCAAGAAGGTAATATAACTCTTGAAAGATAATCATAAGATTTCAAACACTGGAAAATTAAATGCTGATTACATCCAGCTATACTTAAATGAGTTCTTGTTATAACCATGTAGATCATTTTTAACACTTAATAACGCTCCAAGTCAATATTTAATTCTCCGTGTTTCAGATCTTATGATTGCACAGAGCATCCGGAAATAAACAGAAACTAAAGAAAGTAATTATTACACTGGATTATCTGAAATATATTCCACAGGTGGTAAGCATTGTAAGCGTCGCCAAAGTGTCTGAAAGGCATCTGTTTGTGGAAGACACATAAGTAGGCAATATAAAGTTTCGCGAAGATCAGCACTGAATCGTTTATCAAGCATATGCATCCGAAGACCTGAAAAATGAAATATTACGTTTTAACTGTATATTGTGCTTCTTTAGTGAGTAATATGTCGAGATTTATTATACGTAAGTATATGCCAAACTACGTAAAAATTATCAATTTTATTTGCTAAAATAGTATTCAATAGTGAGATAGAAAGCAGCTAGCTAATCAAAAAACTTGGAGTGTTATGTTGTCACGAATTAGAAATCAGATATTGAAAGGAAGTTAAGTAGTAATCGGTCAGTGAAAAATGGTAAGGCGAAATAATTATCCACTTGATAGCTATTAAGAACAGAATTGTTAAAAGTTGTAATGATTACTAGTTAATAGTTGTGAAAACAACTGGAAAGGAGTAGGAATGATAAAATAAATAAAAACGATAGATTATGGAATATAGAAAGCGAGGTTAGGGTCATGGATGAATGAGGGGTTGAGTATACTATTTCTGTCCGCAAAGGTTAGGCTAAAACTGGTGGATAGAAATAGCCTCTGCTGTACATAAGTTTTTCATTTGCATTCTCATTGAGTCATCTCCTTCTAACTGCATGTACAATTTTAAAGGAGGCTTCTAGTGAAGCGAAGTGGCTAGAATTGATTAGATGCTCCGAGATTGAGCTTTTGACTAACTTCTGTAAACGTTTGGAGAGCTAGATAGTGTAATATTCGGAAATGCGTTTCGAAAAAAATTCGCTTTGTGTGGCCAATATAACCTGCTTCACATGATCAAGTAAACTGATAGATTTACACTGATTTCGCCCAATACGGGAGATTATCCTTTACACAACTTCGAATCATGTGTCAGCTAGAAAAGATAGTGTGAGGCTCAACCCAATAGAACGTTTTCTTGAAAGTCTGAGAGAAATCAGTGTGTATCTATCAGTTAACTTGATCATGTGAAGCAGGTTATATTGGCCACAACAAAGCGAATTTTTTTCGAAACGCATTTCCGAATATTACACTATCTAGCTCTCCAAACGTTTACAGAAGTTAGTCAAAAGCTCAATCTCGGAGCATCTAATCAATTCTAGCCACTTCGCTTCACTAGAAGCCTCCTTTAAAATTATACATACAGTCAGAAGAGTTAGCTCAATAAGAATATATATTGAAGAGAAACTTGTCAGAGTACATTTAAAACCTTAGAATTCAAAATACTCTTCAAACAAACATGAGAGAACCGCACAAATCATAAAAGTAATGATAACATGCTCACACATTGAACGATATTATGATTATCTCATTATTCAACGACATCGCCTAATTTCTTAGAACTGAATCCTAATACATGACAAAATCCACTAACACCGAACCAATTTCAGTAAAATAACCTTTGCATGTCTGCCAAAATGCACGAAAACTCCCTTGATCTGATTACACCTTAATTTAGAAAAATTATAATATGGTATTGTGCAAACAGACAGATGCGTAATGAAAAAGGGTACATCAGTAGGTGACTTAATTTAAACAATTCTCAATATTATCATCGATGTATAAACTTACTGGAAAATATTGGTGATTCTATCATTTGAATTAGCTGATCCATATCACAGAGAGTTTCAACAGTAATAACAATATCTCCGCTTAGTCAAAAACAAAATAATATCGTTAAGGAATAAAATTAACGCATGGAGCATGCAGAACGCACTACCTTACGCATAAATTCATTCCCTATTTGAACTAAGTATCGTTTAGTTGACATATGATTGTCTATCAAATCTCCTTGTTCTTATTCCCCGCAATATTTATTCTAATTATTAAAATACAATTAAGCTATCACATAAATGAAATTGTACATTTTTTTAGAAAAACGTATATCTCAACGTATACGGAACCGGGATAGTTTTTGAATGAGGTAATAAGTGTGAACGAAGTTATGGTTTAAATATTATTAAAGATATGGTAACCAAAGGCATATTACTTATCAAAAAATGATACTTGATATTATGGCACTATGATGTGATTTGTTTAATTCTGAAGTCAGAAAAGGAAGTAAATTTTGTCAAAAATCACCAAAAGCATCCTTAAGTTCTTCAGACATAGTAATTTCACTAGTAGGATAACCGTTTGGATTTCGCTCGATCTACCCCGATTATTAGTCAAAGGAGTTCACTTACCTTGCATACAGTAAGTGTAATTAACAGAGTGATCTGAATATTTTTGCGAAGCTGCCAAGTCCACTTCCTTCCTTATAATTCATTGCGAAATTTTTAGCTTTATTAGACTCGAGATACATGTGGTAAGTTATACCACTACTATCTTGAATTGATTAACTCGTTGTCTATTAATTACGATGAATAGAATACAACAATACCAGAAATAATTGCTGCATGCTCTTTGTACACACAACACATTTACAAATGCCCTTTAAATCTCACACTATAGATTAGTTCTATTCAATGGAAATTATAAAAAAACTAACCACTTCATTTATTTTATATGTTGTTAAAAAACTGATTGAAAATCAAATCCACATTGTTAAAATTCTACTTTTTTCCAATTAAAAAAAGGATACAATGATTTCACTAAACGGCTACAATGTTTATAATTTTCAGTCAGCATACATAGTGCTAACAGAGAAACAGGATTATAACACCAAGCACGATACAGTTTTTCAAACAACTGACATTGGGCCTAAAATATGTACATACGATGGAGAGAATGTAGATATTTGTTTTGTAAAATAAAAAAGGAAAATAGACAAATGCTTTGAATACAAAGATATATTGTGTAAAAAAAGGTGTAAGAATTGAAATCAGTCGTGTGGCATACTTAAAGTACTGTCAGTATCATTAGGCATAATTGTTTGGATGAGCTAAAGTGATGTCAGTACACGGACGTATCTCACAAATAATATTGTTGTCTAGCATATATTTTTATGTTACTTAACTACATAAGGTGGGGACTATGTTATATATAGAAGAATTTGTGATTATTTAACAAACCACTCATAATTCGATTTTATTGTTTGACAAAGAGACATTCAGTGGGTTAGGATTATTCCTCAACACCAAGGATTGTTGTTGCTCATTAAAGTATATCCTATTGAATGATCGATAAGCGTAGTAACTAGAATCAATTTTTTAATCAAGTGATCTACTATTACAAACTAATAGTTGAGATATGAAGGTCAATGGTGTAAAATTTTATCATCACGAACTAATCAATATTCGAGTCAGATAGACTTTAGCAAACAATCACTGAGAAAGATTGACTTATACTGGCACTAGCTCTTTTTGGATAAGTAAAGAGCTTATAAAATAGACACATAGTAATCCTATGAGTTACATCAGATAAGCTCGAACGATAAATTATGTTCATTCTTATTTATAAATGAATAAGTCCGTCTGTTGTCTGTCTTTATCTATGTTCTAATTGGTTTTATCTTACATAAAACTGAGTGATGTTTAACTCAACAATTTGGATCAGGCTGTAATCATTCGCTTGTATGGTTTTAGAAACATAATAGGCTTAAAACACTTAGTATTCGACTTTTGATATCCCATTACTCAATTTAATCTAGTTTTAAAACAATGTTGGTCGAATGAGATTTATGAAATCGATTCGGGGTATATATCGAGGATCAATAAAACTTTTGGCAACCCAGAATAAATGGCTAATAGTTGAAAAACTTCTCCGAAGCTAGAAGACCGACCTTTTCCCTGAAACATATACTGTTTAAAAACGATTTTATTTTAACAATTAAGTATTATTAGATAAAATTTACTAGTACAGCGAAAAAATAAACAAATAAAACCTCTAAACAATCAACTGAGGGAAAGCATCGAATAGTACTAAGAGATGTTAGCAGAATCAAATGTTAACATATTTTGTGATTATCTCTTGGTGAAAATATACCAATATTTATAAATGAACACTACCTATTCCACCTTACCTTCGTATTAATACAACGTAATTGTTTACGGAAATTATGTAACACTGGTTGAGTTAAAAGAATCCGATTCAACGCTTGTACCAGCACAAATGCTGATTCCAATGGTTTAATATAAGAAATAATTGTTGAAACGGTGCAGTAAACCGTATCAGCACCAAGAACTTGACAGAGATCGCTAACAAAACAGTAAAAACAAAATAAATAAAGGATTTAATAAACTTGCTGATTATGAACAACTTACTTGACAAGTCTGGTAGTGTAATGAACGAGAACACAAGTGAGAACAATCGGATGTATTTGAACACAAAATTACAGAATCTCTTGGTAAAATTTGAGAACCATACAATAAATATTCATTTGCAAAATGTTAATTAATCGTCTCAGACCTCAATGTTCTTTCGTTTCAACAATAATAATTCTGTTATCGTTCTCTTTCCTTCGATCTTCTTAACCTTCTGCTTTCATGCATTTCACTTTCAACTAATGATACATACTACTTATATCTGTCGATATGAGTAGAACACATCACAATAGGACCAGGTGGGAATATTGAGGGTTTATATTCAGTAACATTCTAATGTCATAAAAGACGACGATTAATGCCTATGACCGGTTAGGGCAGTGACATCTCTGGAAGCCGAAACACAAATTCAACAGTCGGCAACTTTAGATAATTCAGTGAATAAAACAGGATGTATTACAAAAAAGAACACCTCAGACCAAATACTAAAGATTACATCTCCCTGTAAGGACCTTAAAATAAAATGGGCTAAACCTAAGTCTAATAGGTTAGAGAAACTGAACCGCAGCTTCTATTATATGTAGTCTCAAAATTTGAAAAATACAAACTGTCGAATTTCAACTTCGTGCTTTACGCAAAACATGAAGACCCTCTATTTGATCCAATATGGGGTCGATAGTACATGTTACATTGAAGTTCAATATTACAACCAAACATTCGTACGATTTACGACCACTTATTCATCAGTTATTCGATTCCTCAACTGATTCCAGGTTTTCTAAGACGGAGCGAATAAATGAAAGCGTGAAACTTTGATATCTATTCTTTAGGGAGGCTTTTTATAAATATATTTTAATATTACACGATTGGCTTATGGTATTTTTTAATTGACTTAATTGTGCGCTTTTATTTGGCTCATTAACCGTTGTTATATATTTTACCATCCATAAAATTAATCAGAAGCCTGCTACTCAGTTGTGTCCTTGTTATTCAGATACTGAGTTTGTCATTTATGGCGTACCATGGTCTTGTACTTTGTAAATAGAATGACATCAGATTTGAATCACACAGAATATTAGGGTCCTTCTGCAGTTTTGACTGGTAGATTGAGAATGGGTGAGAATATCGCACAGCAATCGATCGTTTAACGCAAACAGCAAATACGTTAGCGAATTCATAATGGGCAGAAGTAAAAGAACATCATAAAAGGGTTGTGATGAAAGTCAGTTACAAATTAAGGAATCAAAACAAAAACTGAATACCTACGCAGGTTAACTGAAATTTTGACTAATAATCATTACTTTTTAAGGGGATATGGTAAACATAATCAACATTCCAGTTGAAAATATTAAAAGATCATGTGTTCCACAAGATTTAGTAAATACTCTACGTCAGAAAAAACATCGACCTATCAAAGAGAAACCAAGCACGCATGATCCATCTACTTATGTAAATAAAACATTCCTTAATATTGAAGTCTTAAAAAATAGGTCAAAAAAATATACACTCCATTAGTTCAACAAAAGTCAGTACTAAGCACTTGATATCAATCCTGATGAAAAATAGAAACGGAAAATGATCGTTATTTCTTAGTTAAAATCAAATTCGTTGGTTGTACTGACATTTCAGGTAAAGCATACACAGATCCAATGAATTTAAAACAAATAGTTCATACTGCTACACAGAAACTACGCTTATACATGGTTTTGATAATTGAACATATCTTAGTAAGCATTTCATGTGACTGACACTGAAAGGAAAAATTGTTCAATAGATTATTCTTATTTGGTCGATAAAGTGTTTTCATTATTATCGAGAGTATCGACATTTGCGAAGCCTTCAAGCAAGCGTATGTTGTCTGGTAATAACGAGTTTCTAATGAGAATTGTTACTGAAGAAAAGATCTTGTTTAGAAACACTTTTCCCATCAAATTAAGTAATTCAAACCAACACTGGTTGTGAAAAATTGATAAAATTTTCATGACACAATAGTTTGTTTCGTCTTGAAATATAAAATAAAATCAACCCATGAAGCTAATTACGTAATAATCATATCTCCACGTTTCCGTAATAATTCTGAATCTTTGTTAAACAATTCGACTAAGTCCAAAAGAAATCGTAAACAAAATGTATTTGGAGCAGAAGATGATGACGGTAATGATTCTTGAGATGAAGTCTCCATTGAACAATCAGAAATCTGACTATTATTTTGTCCATTCACTATAGCCGGATCATGAAGCAACTTAACTAGTTCTTGAGGTAAAATAACAGATTCTTTGTTGTGATAATTATTACCAACAACAGTAGTATGATGACTGAGTTTTCCAATCAATGAAATAGTAGAATGCACCATCTATAAAAATAAATTTTAAAAAGTCATGCATGAAATGAAGACAAAATTGCTGATATCATTTCTAGACAAAATTTCATTGATTCCCACTGTATAACTTACTTCATCAGCAGGATCAGAAACTAGTTTGAGCATTTCTGGTAAAAGACGATCAACATGAGAAAAAACATCAGATGAACAAACTTCTGCAAGTACAGTAATCCAGCGTAGTGCTGCCAAGCGAGTAAATAAACTTGAATTATTAAGAAGTTGAAAAGTAGCTTCTAAGATTGCATCTGTGCACAAAATTTGTGAATTGTTTTGTCCACCGGATAATGTATCAGTTGTGGTGTTAAGAGATGAGTCTGTAAACTGTTTAGTTGAATTTTCAGCCTGTGAACTATAAAAAGTATAGGCAAAATATTTTGGTAATGTCGTCAAGGCTGTTTGGTTTCATAAAGAAGATTTATACAAACATCCCATATTGCTATCATTTTTAAAGACAAACAAAACTATCACGGAAACCTGTTATAAAGAAGCATCAGGAAACGCGTCGCTGAAATCACAATTTTATGGAAAAGGAAAATAATCAAATGAAAAACTATTGCAGAACAATGGGAAGCGTGGTTTATCTATAAACTAGAGTTTTTATTTATGTGACAGATTCCTAAACACAATTGACAATATCTTGCGTCACTGAACTGGATGATTCATAAAAATTTATAAAATGATTTATAGTATACTGACTGATGCCAACTCAATGTATATGTGACACATTGCGCGGTACAGTAAAATAATAAACTGATTACTCGTTTAACTTTGCCCATGTTCTAGTGTGACGGACGGTACTCAAAAGATTGCTAGTAAGTAGTATGTAGCGAAACGTGGTGTCGAAGCTGCCACAGTCGTCAGTCAGGGAGAAGAGCTTCAGTACATGAAAAACACGGGGTAGGAAAAACACTTGGAGACCAGACGAAGGCTATGTATATGTATTATATAATTATTTTGTAATTTTTCAAAACAAATATTCCTTCTGGTCATTGCCTTGTTCTACACCAGTACCAGGAAAGTGTTCAGTGAATAAGCCTCAGAGAAGCCATTCGTAGGATGATGTGAAAGAATCTTATTACATCATGGTAAAAAAATAAAATGCAGTAAGTTCAGTCCGGTAACACGAACCTGAATTTGATGGTTGTGTAGGTTTTTTTAAAATTAAACAAAAACAGCCTGTCAATGATATCCTTGACTAACAGGAAATTGAAGATCATAGTTATGTTTAGCAATCTGACATTAATCCTTATATCAAGACATGTAACCCTTGCATTCAATCACAACCATACAATATAGATTATTCTGGCGGAACTTGGTACATTAGCTGAATTTCTGTTCATGATATCTTACAATGTGTTACAAGTGGCTTTTTAATTTTAAAAAAAAGGGGTATTTATTACAGTATGTTTCCCAACGTGTATTTTATTGTTGTTAATAAATTTAAACCTCATTTCAAAATATCTATCAAGTCAAAATATTCTTAAGTGTTAAAAACAATATTCAGCAAACCATGGTAAATAATGTACGTTCAAAGCATAAATCAAACTAACACTTCATCTTCTTCCAGAAAACGAAAAATCACTGACAAATTATAAAACTAGAATATAAATTAAGTTCAATCAAGTGCTAAAATATTATGGAATTGTCAGATGTCAGATTACAACAGATTGGAGGATATGAAGACAAAGACTGTAAATAATACATTAATTATTGTAATCATAGACAAATGCTTTATATGGTGATAAGATTCAAGGGAAAGTAAACGTCATAGTTACTGCTGAAATTTCCATCTCAAAATGTAATTTTGTGAACACAAAGCTCTTGATCACTCAATAATTAACTTTCCATATTATTGGAATTAAATCCTATGCTGTGACCCATATCATATTTATATAATAAGGACGTTAAGAAGTGGTGTATGATAAGTAAATGTTTAAACCACTTATCACATGCACTATCCGAAAACTTGCATGCCTACTAAGGTATAAATAATTTTCTGGATGCACTGGCGATTGTGCTTCCGTAAGCCAATACCTGCTGTTAGAAAAACATTTCTAGCAGTATTGGGGAGATCTAAATTATTCCTCGAAAAAAGTTTATAGAGACCCTAAAAACGCTGGAAAGGACTTCATCTAATAAGTATTGAATAGAAATTTTTCAGAAATATCTAGAAAGTCAGGAATCATGTGTCACATTTCTGATTGGATGGTTCCAGAACCTTCCAGAAGCCCAAGATCATCTGAAATATTATAAATACCCTCGATTTTCTGTACATAAACTAACCTTGGAGTAAAGCATTTTTTTCATAATTCATGTAGATTTACCCTGGGGTCATTAGAAGAGCATAGGAAACCGATTCTAGCGTTCAGTTGGAAGATTTATCAAATAGTTAGCCATTTTACCAACCAAACATCATAAACAAATTTTAGAAAAAATACTTAAGTCTTATTAGAATGTGTTATGAATTAATCTTAACACATAAATATGCAGAACATCAAAACTTACAACTTGACTAACGATTCACTTTGGTTTCCTGAATTCAATGAGACTCGGTGCGAATCCATTGCACTGTGAGCTATTGATTCGCATGAATCCAAATTATTCATAGTACATGAATTGAATAATCTAACAGCCTTCAAAAGCGTTTCGTTTATGCACACAGCTGTCTCGAGAGCAACTTTCGTATGAATAATAATTAGAATAATTAAAACAAGAAAGATAAAATTCAGCTTATCCAGTGTATCTATTTTAAAAAAATGACTAGATACACACCTAGCTTTCTATACACGACGACCACAAAATGAAAACCATATAATCTGCAAATATATTTATGATTTACTGTATTACAATCGAGAACAGTCTCGGTCACATTAAGAGGATAACTGGCAACTTATAAAACACATGCAGTTGATGGATGATGAGATAGAAGAATCAGTAAAATCACGCGGTCAAATACTTATGATAAGTGGTTTGGAAGAATTGTTATGATGCTTGACAGTAATGGAAAAATGAAGTCATTTGAAACCATAACAATATACTCGTATCCTACTGTTCGCCATGGAAGTGTGTTTATTCGTTTGACTTGATAAGAACCCAACTAACACCTAGTTATGCTACAAACAAAAAGTAACTAATTTATAAATATAAAACTTACATAACTAACTTGTTACGGCTTTGGAAAGACAGTACTTTTCTTCAATTAAAAAAAGTTCAGTACACATTTCACTACTTTATGGACCATGGGGTAAGCAAAACTCAAAGGAATAAGCTTTCAGAAAATCTAGAATAGAACCACGGCCCATCTGAACAGGCATATACAGCACTCAAAATAAAAATCGATAATTTTGAAGGATAACGCCAGTTGATAACATTCAAGAAAATTAAAAATGCTAAATTGTGACGTATTAAGACAGTTAATAGACAAGATAAACTGATCATATGACAGATTATGTCGACAAGTTCTAAACGAAAGCATATATTTAAAACGCACATTGTGTTAGTCACAAAATTACAGGACCTATGAAAACGCTTCTATAACAATTAGAATAAAGCATGAAAAACAGGACAACTCGAACAACAAAGCACACCAAGAAGTCAAGATGAAAAATGCTGATTCCTATACTGTTTATGACTGACACACACTGAAAGTTAGAATCATTGAGTCAATAATCATACAATCAACCTACTTCAACCTATTATCTTTAGAAATACTACAGAGTACATAGTTACTAAGTTTGAGTGAGACAAACAGTTCCATACAGTAATACAGATAGACTACAAGATTTTTAATATCCCAAACATATTCTAAATGATACAAATTGAATAATTGAAGGGCAGAAATGTGATATTGAATAAACCTATATAAAATAGAAAGTTAAAAACAAACCTTTCCTTTCTTGTAAAGCATCAGATGGTCCACAGAGCATAAAGCAGGGAAGAACAGCACCAATAATTCCTGAAGCATATGGAAGCATGTGATGCGGATCTATTTCAACAAATGTTTTTATCCACTTTAGTGCCGCTCGTTGTTTTAATTGTTCTGGTGCGTTACATATATTTCCGCTTTTTAAGGACCACGAATCAGAAGTGTTTTGAGCAGTTTGTGTGAGACTAATACTTTGAGCCGATGTATCAACAACGATTGATGAATTGAGGAGATTAGAAAACTGAGAGTTACGTGGAGATGATGGCTTCAAAGCAATATCGGCCAAAGCACAAGCTAGTGAAAGTAACACGAAAAAATCCATGGTACTGTATATATAAGAAAAACAATACACAATATGAGGAGTACAGAAATACAATAATCAATATAAGCATAAATATACCGCAATGTTTCGTACTTAATGACAACTAAAAAATTTATGCCATGACAAACTTCGTACTACGGTTTATTTATTTATTACAACATATAAACATCGGCTCAATGGGGTATTAAAAGATATATGCGCCACACAATAAAAACAAGGTTGTGAAGAGATAGAGAAAGGAAGATATAATGAAAAAGAACAAAGACGAATGGGAATTAGTGTATGAGAGTGAAGTAATAATAACGGGAGAGGCAGTTTAGTTAACAAAAGTACAACCAGAAAGAATTCTTTCAATTAAAGAAATTACTCTCACTTATAGGAAGAAAGCAAAAGAAAGTTACAGAAAGATCGTCACTGGCTTCTATTCTGAGCCATGTCTCAAGCCACTGTAGTGAAAGACCAACAGAACCCAGTCCTGCACAGCTCTTTTTCACATCACGACACCATGTCATACACTGACCACCTCTCCGCTTTTTCCAACCAGTCCGTGTCAGAAAATGATACACGATGTGGAATTCGCTGGGATAACATTTGTCGGACATGTTCAAGCCACCGAAGTCGATATTTCAAGATAGTGATACCAATTAAATTATCATCGCTGCGCCCGAACACACGATGCCGAATTTCCGCATTACTAAAATAGTGTTGTCACTAGAAGTCAGCAATTCTTCAGAGACAACGGTGATTAAACACATAGTCGCCTGACATCATAAACTCGGAGAGGCCAGGTTTCACAAACATGGAGCGAATCTGGTCCCACGGACGCAATGTAGATGCATCCTTTTGCAGCCAAACTGACATCACGAAGGCGCTGAAGATGGGCCAGATTAACATAGGCCACTCTGCCTTTCACTATACGTGAATTGATCTCACCATTCATGCCACCACCAACACTTACATAGCTACCCAGATGCAAGATCCCCTCAACTACTAACTGCTCAATACCTATGTGATTTATTCCATGTAAACCCTAATTAATGCAATCTTTTCTTATTGCCTGTAATACTGATGATGGATAATGACTGATGCCTGAAAGTTTTTCACACTGTTGTGGTGTACGCTACTTATGTCGATATAAGTAGTATGTAAAGCAATCAGAAGTGGAATGCCTGGGCAGCAGAAGGTTGATAAGATCGAATCGAAGAGAACAGGAACAGAGAATAATTTTAATAACAGTGAAGGAACGAAGAAGATTGAGACAATTGATAGGGGATTTTCAAATTAATTATTGAACGTATGATTTTCACATTTTATCCAAGAACTCTGTAATTATGTATAAATGAAATGGTTATCCCCAGCTGTGTTCTCGATCATACATCCAGAGTGAGTGCAGGTTCAGGGTCCTCCCAGTCTTGTTAAAGTACTTTGCACTTAGGAGGTGCAAACCATATGCCATACCTACGGACACTGATTGCCAACTGACTAAGGGCGGATTGGACGAGTCGGGTATAATCGCACAGTAAGAAAATATCATCCGCATACTCAAGGTCGAGAAGTCTTTTTCCAGGCAACAGATCCACACCACCATTACTTATATCCATCAGAGCTGTTTCCAGAATGTCGTCGGTGGCAAAGTTGAAGAGGAATGATGAGATTGGGCAACCCTGTGTAACCCCCACTGCTCGAATGGAACAATGGAGAGAGGTGGTTGTATGCCCTCACTCAGACACACCCTTCTTCAATAGACAATCCCATCATAGACGAGCTGCTGTAGAAGTTGAAGAATAAAGGAATATACTAAATAAGAATAAAGGAATAGGCAAGTGACGTAATATATGATAAAAACAAATATTAACAAATAGTTTCAAGTATGATTCACGAAAATGGGAATTAAGGAGTGATTAACTTTTCTAGTTGCAGTCATCATTTAGTTTTTGTGCGCTGGGATGAACTCCGGGTGTTCACACCGAAGAAGGTGGTTTTCTCAGGCGACCACTTCCCGAGCCTTTGACCTAAAAGTATAGTCCACAAGGTAGTGAAGCAACGTTAGTAGATGCAATCACATGGTAGCCGGCGACCAACGACAGGTTTATACGTCATTTGCTCCCCCAGGATCCAGGAGTTCATGTTCACCATTAGTTTGGAATCAGGGTTTTCTTGTTCTCCTAGGTGCAACCTCCGCGTACCAATCAACCCGGTTAGGAAAGGACATTCGTTTTTCGTCGTCTCAATTTCGTAAACAACACACCCGCCGCAAGAAGGTAGTGATTAGGACTTCCTTGGCAATCGCCTACCGTAGCTGTTATCTTGACGTAGTGACCGGGTCGGCCTATTGTGATGACTCAACTGGGCTATATTGGCTAGGACACACGTTCTTTTAGGTTCTACCATGCCAGGCGGATCGGTTGAAGAACGGTAAGACTAAAAGCAGTAACTTGAGGCCCGAGGGCGACGAGGGTGTGACAGCAGTAAGGTGCTTCCCTAAGGCAACCAGCACTGCAACGATGCTGTGTTCTCACAACGGGAGAAAGGTGTTAGGAATAGTCTACCCTTAAATGTCACACCTCACCTTACCACATGGATTTCCGTTTCTGGTGCTGGTATGACCTTGTGAAGTGAGGAACTAACGCATCAATAACAAAAAGGTCGTAGGCGACCGGCCTCAAACAACTGTCTCATTAGCTCTGCGGTTACGCTCCGAGGTCGCTAAGACCACCACTAATTAAGTTTCTTTTTCAGGCCCTTCAAGAACAAATATCCTTCCACGGGGTGGGTAATCGGGAAGTGACAACCGCCCTCATACTTCTATCACCACCAGAAATCATCTTGTTGACGATCGAATTCCTTCCTTACCTATCAGTAATTCTTTCATCCCTACGACTAACCATTCTCATGTGTTTATCACCACGGGCCACCAATGCTAATGATTTGACTCCACAAAATTTTATTCCTCTTCTCCTGAAACAACACTAAACTACATGCTGGAGATTTGAATGTTCGAAGCTTGTATCCAATAAGAAAACAGGCTCCTTAGGCTAGGACTCGAGAATCTCGCGCCGTCGATGTATGCTGCGCCTCCGAAACGCAATTACAGGATCTAAGTACAGTCATTCATTTGACCTCACATTGTCAATATAAAGAACCGGCACAATTTACCCTTTGAGTATCTGGAGATCCCAGTGTTAATTGCTGTGGCCTCACTGATGTAGGTATAGCATTAAGTTCAAAAGCAGAACAGGTTATCAGACTGAATTCCAATCGACAGTCGCCTGTGCACTGTTCAACTAAACGGGACAGTGAGAACTCGAAAAGATAAGGACACAATCCATCGCCTTTTTGTTGTCTCTACCTACGTTTCCACTGATTGTAGCTCGGACAAAGTTAAAGATGAATTTTATACGAAGCTATCCAAACTTCCTCGAAAGGTTAAACGCTCTGATTTAGTAATAGTGACAAACGATTTTGATGCTAAAGTAGACTAAACGAAACTGAAAGGCACTTAGGTGGATCTTACACTGTTGAGGCTCAGCGAACAGACAATGGCGACCGTCTGTTGCAACTATGCTCAGATAATCTTCTATTTCTGGTAAACACCAACCTTAAGAAAAAAAGAAACATTGTATGATGTAGCGACCCCCACAATCGACTCATCGATGGACTCAAATAGATCACATTGACATTAGCCATAGTTCCAATGGCTCCATTGAAGACTGTCTCTCATTCTGGAGCACACGTTTAGACTTAGATCATCCTCTGGTTCGAGCACGCACGTAGAAAAGTTACAGCAAGAAAACCCCTTAAAGTTAAAAATATATTTCAGGAACGACTGAAGAAGGAGTTCGTCAACCATGAAGTGATATTTACTTCAAAGTAGCGTGGAGTGATATCCAAAAAGCTGTGAAAACAGCTGTGATATCTACTAGTAACTTGAAGCAAAAAGTTAAGAAAAATTAGTGGATTTCAGCTGCGTCTACAGAACTGGTAGATGTTCGGACATTCATCACATCTGACTCCGAACACGATGAGGAGCGGAGGCAGCTTAAACGTAGGCTGATAAAAGGCCTACATAATGATCGTGAGTAGTGGCGGGTAGAGAAAGCAGAATAGATGGAAAAGGCAGCAGCAATAGGTAATAGTAGATAACTGTTCAGACTTATCAAAAAAACGGGTAATGAACTGTTTCAGTAAAAGACGGGACCACTATTCACTCTCAGTTCAGGAGATTGGACCAATGGGCAGAACACTTTAGGAGACAGTTCAACTGGCCTTAAGCCACAATTCAGTAACCCATCATCTACCTCCGAATCTTAGTGAGGTTGAAAAGGCTATCAGTAATCTAAAGAGAGGGAATACAGCAGGGCCTGATGGATTAACCCATGAGATTTTTAAGGATGATGGTCCAGTTTTAGCAGTAAGATTAATTGAAATCTTAGCTAAAATCTGGAAAATGGACGTGGTCTCATCTGAAATGTTTTGATCGCTGGTCGTCTCAGACTACAAGAAAGGACAAAAATCCTCTTGTGACAATCACAGAGGAATCAATTTAACTAATACTATGTCCAAAATATTAGCCTCAACAATACTTCGATGTCTAATTATAGCTCTTGAAAAGCGAATCTGAGAAAACCAGACTGGTCCACATCTGTACATGAATGTATAGACCAAACATTTACCCTTCAGTAGATTCCAGGACATAGACATACCTTTCGACGTCGTACTACAGTTGTATTCCTTGACATTAAGGCAGAGTTCGACTTTTTTGATCATTAGGTTCTGCACCAGTGCCTGTCATTGAAAGGCGTATCGAAGAAGTACATTAACCTTGTACAGGCTCTCTACTCGAATACTTCTGGTCGAGTCAGAGCTTATAACTAATTGTCGTCGGGATTCGTTCATCAGGGTTGCCCGCTTTCTTTTTTCTTCTTTAACTTAGCCATAGACATGTTTTAAAGATAACACATTCATTGTCTGACTTTTCAGAGATTAATCTTCTACCAGGAGATTAACTTGTTGACTTAGAATACACAGACGACATAGTTGTGTTTTGTGAAGACGCTGACAAAATGCAGTTTTCTGACCACTTTAAGCAACAATGCGAGCATGTTTGGGATGAGGATTTCTGCCTCCAAATGTAAAGTGTTACTTCAGGATTGGCTTGTGTCAGTGCCTAAATTAGTGGAAGGGAGTGAAATAGTTGAACGCAACGACCGCTTCATTTATCTTAGGAGTTTCATCAGTACTGATGGTCTGGTGTCTGAAGAAATCTTGATACGGATCCAGAACACCCGATTGGCTTTTGCCAATTTGCGTCATTTGTGGAGTAGGCGAGATACCTGTCTTTTAACCGAAAAGCGGGTTTACTGTGCAGTAGTTCGCTCAGTTCAACTTTATGGATGTAAAACTTGGTCATTAAGAGTAGAAGATATTCTTAGGTTACTGGTATTCTATCGCAGACGTTTTCAAAGCATCGATCGCGTATTTGGGACCACGGAGTAGGCAACACCAGGGTTAGGAATCGAGTACTAGGCAAACATTGTAAATCGGTTGATGAGGTAGTGAATCTTCACCAGCTGATGTGGTTGGGACATGTGCCACATGTGCCTAACCAGAGCCTATCTCAACAAGCGATGTTTTCTGGTGCAGGAGCAGGCTGAGAAAAACTAGTAGCGGCCAAATTAAAACATGGCATCAGTCCGTGAAGTCACTGACAACTGGACTTAGACATCTTTGTAGGTGTAGACTACCTGGTTGGGGTCCGTGTGGTTATCATAATCAATATTTAGAGACTTTGAATGACATGGCTCAAAATCGTTTGCAATAAGTGCAGATGCATTAATTTTCTGTTGTCCCCCAGGTCCTGAGATTTTAAATTCCTCGCAAATTTTCTTTGTTTTTATTTCACTGATTTATGTTTTCTTTTCGAGTCGTATCTTCGATCTTCTTTTCTATTACCACTGCTATTGCTACTACCTCTAATATTCTGGAATTCGACCTCATATCTCTGTCCTGATGGAATATAGCAACTTGGACCGATGTGTATACGTACAAGTCCTACGTTGTGACTGACTGACTGACTGACCCTGTCAGTGGCTGTATACACGCGGCCATATTGAGAGCATTTAGATAGGGAAAGAGGACTGTCCCCACTCTTGACAAAGTGCAGAGTCTTCTGACCACTCTAAGCAACAATGCAAGCATGTTCGAGATGCGATTCTCCCCCTCGTACATCCTGGGACCATCGAGTAAGTAACGCAGTTGTTAGGAAACGGGTACTAGGTAAGGATGGTAAATCAATTGATGAAGTGGTGAAACCTCATCAGTTGAGATGGCTGGGACATGTGTTACGTATGCCCAACCACCGAATGCCTCGACGTGCAATGTTTTACGGTGTAGGAGTAGGTTGGAAGAAAGGTAGGGGTGGCCAGACCAAAACATGGCACAAGTCCATGAAGTCATTGACAAGTAGACTGAGCCATGTTGGTAGGTGTAGACTACCTAGTTGGGGACCGCGAGATGATAGCAACCGATGGTTAGAAACCCTGAATGACATGGCTCAAAATCGTTTGCAATGGCGCAGGTGCATCCACCCTTTGTGTTCTCCCAAATTCTAATCTTCTGTATTCTTTATGTCCTTCTTCTTTTTCTCTTTCCAAATTTATTTCACTAAACCATACTCCTTGAATAACATCTTCAAACCCTAATCTTTCCGATTACTGCTTACATTTTTACTACCTCTACCACTATGGGATTTGAATCGACAACTGCATCCCTGTGCTAATGTGGTATGGCAACTCGAACTGATGTACCTACGTACAAAATCTAAGTTGTTGCTGACTGACTCGACCGTGCTAGGGCATCTTGAGGGCTAGTGGACGGAAAATTAAGGGATTTCTTGATGATAGATACAAACAAGCCAGGAAGTATTTCATTTAGTTGCAGTTTTGTAATTAAAAAGGTAAAAAGCATAACAAAACAAGGATATACGATCAAAATAAAATCAAGATGATTACCTAGTTCTCAAAATCAATCGAATCCTATTGATCAATATAACTTATTTAAATGACAAGACACACTCTGTTGACTGTTAACAAAAAATGATTCTACAAGTACTGAAAATTACATCTGCACATATGATAGCAAATCTAACACATTTTACTCTCGTACCACTTGTTTCAGTAGTCGCTTTTTCAAAGATAAAATCTAATTACTAGCGATAAGCATAATATCGATATCAATCACTATCGGGTGACCAAAACGATGCAGATAAACGGGTTCAACAGTAATAAGAACCCAAATATTTTAACAATAATATGCTTAAATGCAATACTGAATTGGGGTTGAATCGAATGTTATGATAAGCATGATTTTCATCAGAATAATAAAAACTAAGTCCTGACGGTGAGTGATAACATGCATGGATATCTCAGTCCATAACGCTCTGGTAAACTTTAATGAACGGTAATGTGATTTAGATCAACAATTTTAAAAAATTTTAAAGAAATGTAAAATGTCCGATCGTGTATCAAGTTGGATGACAAAATAATTATCATAGGTTTTTTGATAAAATCTGCTTACCCGAACTTCTTCAAAAATAAACTTAGAATACAGACACTCCCAGTGAAACCGTAGACATAAATACTTGCAATACAACCAGGTTCATATAGTCCAAACAACTGATGAAAAGTAACTTGAGTAAATCAGCCAAAGTATATGTTTGATTTGAATATAGATTTTACAAAACAAACTTTGAAGAGTATCTATAAAAAAGCTTCACTGAACTGATATTTATTCATTACTTGAGATGGTCAGGTTTATCTGATATAGTTATTATTGGGTCAAATAAGGAGCAACAAACCTATTTGACTTTGCATCAAACGAATAAATTAATCTGATAAGTGTGTGTTCCACTACTATATGAGAACCACGTCCAAACTAACAGGATGAAACTAGTTAGTACAATTTCTTAAATTACTAAGTAGATGGTGAGAACTAACAACTCTATTTAACCAGTTGTGTTCAAAAATGGTAATACGTGATAAAAAGCCAGTATCTATTAATATAAGAAATTGCCTTGAGTTACACATTGAAGCATTAAACAAACAGCTAACCTGTTGCTGAAAGTCGACAGTGCACAATTAAACTGTTGATCATTGTATCCAATGCAATTTCATTTGGATTAGCTTCAATCTCTTTGAGTAAATCTGTTAAAAGCATTTCACATCTAAAGCAAAACAAAATCAGAAGTAAAAGCGAGGAATTTAAACATAGTAGCAAATAAAATTATCATTCAAACCCATCAAGCCACATAAAATCCATCGAATACTTTAAAGTATGTAGTGAGGAATTAAGAGTTACTAAATGCCTAGTTTTAGTAAACTTTAGAGTTTAATCAGTGTGTGAGAGCACATAAACCCCCAACGATACTGAATGACACACATAATAATGGTATAATCCACCTAAAGCCTCGAAATATCAGCCAAAAGATTCCAGAAAAATGATTAAAGTATAGTGAGACATCAGGAAACTTTATCTTTTTAAGTACCGTTATGTTATTTGGTTAGAGGCAGTCGGCAGAAACTACTGGACCTGGGTTTTGCACTACTTGGGACTCTTCAGCAAGGGATATCTGGAATCTTCGTAGGATTTATGTCGTGTGATCACTGACGAATGTCATGTGCCAAGTCACCAACCAGAATAATGATCCTAATTTAGTCTATTATTTACTCGATAGCTTAATCTCTGACTTGGCCAATTACACATCCAACCAGCACTAGTGACATTAAGCTAAGTCTACATTGATCTACTATTCGTAAGCTCCTCATTTTATCCCCACCTTTGCGTCCAAACGTCAGCACCCAACCTCCACGATATTTATATTTTAAACAGAGGCGGTTTATATACAGACATACCGCACCGAATCATACCATGAAGTTAAAAATAACAAATATACATGAACAAGCCAAAAGTGACTGTGAATAGACTGTAATGGACTTGAAAAAAAGTAAACCGTACAACAGTAGTTAACGTATAAACCAAAAGCTTATGATAAGTGGAATATGCATACGTAGCAATTGAATTAATCAGTAACTATACGACAAAATTATAATTAATAAGTTTGAAAAACTAGTCCCAACGTCTGCAATATTTGTTCCGTTATAACATGTAGAACCTGAACCATGTGTCACAGTCACAAAAGTTACCACTAGGTTATTCGGACCAGGATAGACCTCTTGCAGGACTAAAAAGTTTACACTAACCAATTTCATCGAATATTAAGCAATATTTACCTCAATTTCGAGTCAATCTGATTAGTGACCAAACTGCAAACCAACAGCTAGAATTTTCTATTCTCTAAGGACTAAACAACATGAAACTGGCCACTATCTACTGATCAGTTGGTGCAAATAATATCGACTAGTAGTGAAAACAACTTGGGAATTATTCAAGTACTAAAACCCAGCTTAAATGTAAATGAATTGGTACAAAAGACAAAATATGAAAAAAAGACTATTAAAATACATCTTAAGATGAAACACTATACGAGCATGGTTGAAGTTAAATAGAAACAAAAAAGTACAGAATAATACAAGTTACTACATGAAATAATTTTGCCAACAGAATATCTACAGCTTCGTCGAACTATGTAGTTAGACAGGCATTATACTCGATAACATGGAAGGATTATTTAGCATAATATTACATAGAATGAGCATTATTTTGTTCACATTTTTCAAGTTAGGTTCTACGCTCAAATATGCAATGGTGATTCAACTAGTACAGATTCACTTTGCATCTAAACGGAAGAAATTCACAATCTATCAATCGAAAATACCCTCTACCCTAAACTAAACACACTTTAATAACGTATTTATAAATACACTTTAGAAAACACTGTGTTGGTAACAGCGATAACTGGTCTGATGATTGTGAATAAGAAAAAGCTATTTGTATTCAACAGTAATAGGACATTTTGTTGATTGATACAAACACAAGTCATACTTAGAGTACTTTTGCCCTCAAATGCCCTAGTACATCCGAGAGTGAGGAAAGTCCGCTCTCCCTCTCGAAATGCCCTCACATGGCCACGCGTATATAGCATCGGCCAGGGAAGTTCTATTCACTGCCTTCTCGTGGAGGGAGTGTTGTCTACAAAACTGAGAGGACGAAAAGCGGAACTCCGGCGCTTTGACCGGATTGATGGACACGGAGGGTTTACCTAGGGGAGTTGGAGAAACCTGATCCAAAATCAATGGTGCACATGGGCTTCAGTATCCTGAAGGAACAAATGGCGTATGAACCAATCGTTGGTCACCGTCTACCGTGGGACTGCATCTCCTCAGGTTGTGTCCACTGCCTTGCGGATCGGACCTTTAGGTCGAAGGCTCGGGTGTGGACCCTAAGAAAACCACCTGCTTCGGTCTGGGCAACCTGACAGTATCATAGCCCGTACACAATTAAAATGAAATGACAATGATTATTGATATACTGCTCAAACTCCTATTATTATTCAAACAACACATACACATTTGATAACATTCACTTTTTTTTTTGAACCACGTCACTTATTCACGCTCTTTTATTCCCACTCTGTGTATCCTTATTTTTCAACTTATACATCAGCTCGCCTATGGTGGAAATTCGGCTCTACCAAACGTTCTCGAGTCACTGCCTGATTGAAAATTGAATGCTACCACCAAACACGAGTGCTGAAGCAGTTTTTCTGAAACCACGTGCACCATTCAAACTGGCTGCCTTCAACGTTCGCACACTTATGCAGGTCGGACAACAGATAGGGCTGGCTATGTCTTTGGAAAGTCTTAATATTGATGTTTGTTGTCTATCCGAGACCCGTATTCAAGACTCTGGCGAAGTACTACAAATTCGATCTCCATCTGTCGCTTCGAAAAGCTTGTTTTACGTGCGCTTATCCGGGGACCCTGTGGCATCTTCGTCTGGTCTTGCTGGCGTTGGTGTCGCACTAAGCGCTAGAGCTGAGGCAGCACTAGTCGATTGGATCCCCATTAACAGTCGGTTATGTGCTGTTAGATTAGAAAGTTCCATCAAAGTGAGAAGAAATCGGCGTGAGAAACGATGTCTTTTCGTCATCTCCGCCTATGCCCCGACAGATTGCAGCCCGGATGCAATCAAGGATGAGTTTTACCACCAGTTATCTGTTCTTCTCCAGAAAGTGCGTTCGACAGATATTGTAGTACTAGCCGGAGACTTGAATGCTCAGGTCGGGCGTCTAGGCACAGAAGAGAGTCGTTTAGGTGGCCGATGGGGACTTGTTGGTCGCAGGTCAGATAACGGGGACCGTCTACTGCAACTGTGCACAGACCACAACCTGTTTCTGGCTAGCACTAACTTTCGGCACAGTCATCGCCGATGTGCCACCTGGCGTCCTCCCTCTGCATCTCAAGCCTGGACTCAGATTGATCACATCGCGATCAGCTACCGCTGGCGTGGTTGTGTACAGGACTGCCGCTCCTTTTGGAGTACCTATCTGGACTCTGACCATGCCTTGGTCTGCGCCAATCTTGCCTTACTTTTCAGTGGACAACGAAGTGACCGCAACCAAAGAATTGATGTTAGCAAGCTGGTTGCAACTTCTGTTGCAAGTAAGTATCGAACCGAGCTAGCCTCTAGGCTAGCTACCACTCCACCGAAAAGTATAGATGAGCATTGGTTGCAATTGCATGACGCCATGAAAATGGCGGGAACAGTCAGTTGTGGGTTTGCGAAACGTCCCGCTTATAAGCACTGGGTTTCTTCAGGTTCCTTAAAACTCATTGAGGCCCGTCGGTCTACTCCGGGTGACCGTGAGTTTGACCATAAACGAAGGATGTTACGTAAGGAAATTGGGCAAAGCTTGCGTAAGGACCGAGAAGCCTGGTGGTCGGAGTGTGCTAATGAGCTGGAAGCAGCAGATGCATCTGGTAACTACCGGAAGCTCTTCCAACTCATCCGAGCCACTGGCAGCAAGAAGTCTGGTGTGAGTGAAACAATCTGCGAGGATGATGGGATGCCAATCACTAACATCCATCGACGTCTTGGACGATGGGCAGAATTTTTCGAAGGGCAGTTCAACTGGCCTGCTGCTCCGGCAACATCGGTCAGACTGTCCTGCCCTCCATGGCCGGTGACGACTGATCCACCAAATGAGGCGGAAGTCCGCAAGGAACTCCAACTCTTGAAGCGTTACAAATCACCTGGCCCAGATGACTTACCTCCGGCTCTTTTTAAAGATGGTGGTGACTTTCTGGTTAACGAACTGACGTTTTTTACAAAGGTTTGGGAACTAGAGAGTGTATCAACGTCATGGAATGAGTCGATAGTTGTCCCTATCTTTAAAAAAGGTTCACGTCGTTTCTATAACAACTATCGGTGGATAAGTCTACTTCCGATTGCGTCCAAGCTATTGGCTTCCGTCATACTTCGTAGGTTGTTCAAAACCCGAGAAAGATTGACTCGCGAGGAGCAGGCTGGGTTTCGTTCTGGTCGAGGATGTATTGATCATATCTTCACCCTCCGCCAAATGTTAGAACACCGCCATACTTATCAAAGGCCAACAATCGTAGTGTTTCTTGACATCAGGGCTGCCTTCGATTCGTTGGACAGGACTGTTCTCTGGGATTGTCTATTGAAGAAGGGTGTGCCTGAGAAGTTTATTAACATCCTAAAGGCCCTATATACAAACACCTCAGGCAGAGTGAGGGCATACAACCACCTCTCTCCATTGTTCCATTCGAGCAGTGGGGTTAGGCAGGGTTGCCCAATCTCACCATTCCTCTTCAACTTTGCCATCGATGACATTCTGGAAACAGCTCTGATGGATGTAAGTAATGGTGGTGTGGATCTGTTGCCTGGAGAAAGACTTCTCGACCTTGAGTATGCGGACGATATTGTCTTACTGTGCGATAATGCCCAAGGCATGCAATCCGCACTTAATCAGTTGGCAATCAGTGTCCGTAGGTATGGTATGTGCTTTGCACCTTCGAAGTGCAAAGTACTTCTACAAGACTGGCAGGATTCTAATCCTGTACTCACCCTGGATGGTGAGCAGATAGAAGTAGTCGAGAAGTTCGTGTATCTGGGTAGCTGCATAAGTGCTGGTGGTGGCGTGAGTGATGAGATCAATGCACGTATAGTGAAAGCCAGAGCGGCTTATGCCAATCTGGGCCATCTTTGGCGCCTTCGTGATGTTAGTCTGGCTGTAAAAGGTCGGATCTACAACGCGTCGGTGAGAGCAGTTTTGCTCTATGCTTGTGAAACCTGGCCTCTCCGAGTTGAGGACGTTAGACGACTCTCTGTGTTTGATCATCGTTGTCTCTGAAGGATTGCTGACATTCAGTGGCAACACCATGTCAGTAATGCAGAGGTTCGGCATTACTGAAATACAACTAAGCGCATAATTCGAGTAGTTTAAAAAAAGATCATATGTCTGTGGGAACGTATTCGCGAAAAGTACCTCCAAACTCAAAGAAACCCACACTTCGCAGACAATGGGATATAAACTGCCAATAAACCGACCTTTTGAGAACTGGATTAGATTCACTTACCTACAAGTTGTAATCGAAAACATCGCAAATCTGAACGAGGTAGGTCTGATTCCACGGAAAATAATCTCTCATTCTTGTTCAAACTATACTTTTATAGTAGGCAAGGTTGAGATCTATGTCTAGAGCTATACGTCCTGTTACTGATCATCTAACGTTGAATACTATACGACACACAAAGCTCTAATCATTTGGCTTGGTAGTTACATTGCAAACTCGGTCAGCACTGAAGATCTGATAGTATTTGTAACTCACTTGAATCACATTTGCTTATAATGCCTATTTTTTTCAGTACAGTTCAAATTAAGAATTTTCGAAATCCCACTTTAAAACAGGTAAAAATAAAAACACTCGTTTGAAACATAAGACAACAATCATTCTTACTGTCTTCGTAAATCCGGATTCGGATCGCCAAGTATACGGAAAAGCCCATCCAATAATTGCGGCAAGTAAACAGAAATTTTTAGTCCAGGTATAGCATATAAGGTAGTGATCTGGTTAATAGAAAGGTTATCAATAAATCACGTTAATATTACTGGGTTTCTTTCAGTTTTAATAAACCAGTCTCTTAACACCTAACATGTATCAAAGTATAAAAACAGAAATTATTCACTCAATCATGTACTGGCTTTTGCTTGACATAAAACTTTACTAACGAAAAGTAAACCTGTATTTTAACCCGCAGTATCATAAGTATTAAGGGTTTAAACTGGTTAACATGGTGAAATATGCGTAGAATTTAAAAAAACTATATTTGCTGAAAAATTCCCATTATATTAAAAACACAATTGTATGAACGAAGAATATTCTTTTCAATAATTTCTCATCAGGTTCTACAATTATAAATCAAATTAATAATCCATAAAATTGGCTAGATTAAGGCAAAATACATCATCATTTGGAAATGGTAATATGTGAATCAGGAATTGTTTGTTATATAAATAAAATCGTTAATTTATATAACAAACAATTCCTGGTTCACATATTACAATTTCCAAATGATGATGTATTTTGCCTTAAATCTGGCCAATTTTATGGATTATTAATCTGGATTTATAATTGTAGAACCTGATGAGAAATTATTGAAAACTATATTCGTAAAATTAGCTGGCAGATTCAAGATGCTAATGGATTCGACACACTTAAAGTAAATACAACTGTTATCATAACCCATATGAAATAATAACTAAGCAATGATATACTGAGAAATGATTTGTCCTACACTATCACGTTATAAAACTGAAGTTAAGAATTTCCGAAATATCTCTACAATGAGCAGAAATTCATCCTATCTAGTGATGATGACAAACTAATTTATGGATAAAGTGAAGAGACAGTCATAATTTAGTAAAAATCAAGGGGCGTTCACATGTCATCAATACCTCAGTGGGAAAGAATATCGCAGTTTGATCATCTTCCAAAGATGTTTGCTAATTCAAGTATACAAAGGACTACTTAGCATTCTATATGTTGCTTTTCAGCAATCGGACACGAAATAATGTCGGCAAAGTTATTATTCGCGAGCAAAAGAGGTTGAGAGTCCTTGTTCGCCCTTCAAACAACTATTATTACAAAAATAAATGACCCACTGGTCAGTTTGAAACGTTTTGGTGATTTACAGAGACATTAGATTTTACTTTTCTCAATTTCGTTTATATCTTATCTGTAATTATTTAGCTTTTTGTTATCACTGCACTTAAAAAACCAAAAAAAATCTGATGAAAATTTGGAAATTATGGCCGAAGCACCCAAAAAAGACGATGTTGTATGTGTTAACTTATACTACGTGCTAATTGACTACCAATGCTTAAACGTGAAAATGTATCAAAACGATCAGTTCCTTAAATTATACAAAAGTTACCAAACTACACTTCTAACATCTTTTTTGACCAGCTGAAGATCTGTCAATCGATGTGCTATAAATACAATATTGGATACTGGCCCAATTTATAATAACGGAAACTTGCATGGAAGTATTACTGAAGTTCATTACCCTTAAGTGATAGTTCAGTGTAGCTTCGAAAGGGCTAAAAGTTTATTCGTAACTCCAGTTCGAATTTCGCTTTTAAATACTATGCTTATGTAAGGATATGAAAAATTCGTAAATAGGAATGGACTACTTATGTAAGCTAAAATATGAGTACGTTCGGAGACACCGTGCTATCAGACCTGTCCACCAGTACAGCTCATGAAGTTATTGGAACCAGAAAACATAAATTAGTGAACATAATAAGTGTCTTGGAACATGGGCGATATAATACACATCAAACTATCGGTGTGAATTCCTTCACTCCTTAAATAAGGTTTTAGGAAGATTTTTTAATTCCGCTCCTATACCTGTTTTTTCTCCTGAAATCATATCTGCTGAATGACATGACACTTTATATGGATGTAAGATTTTGCTATATTTCATATTGTTCTTGTATCACTGTAATCTAGTGGGTAATAATCCAACTACAAGAACAGCCATGATAAACCCAAAAAGCTGATGGCTTAAGGACTGTCCATACCTAGTGAACTTAGTAAGTAAGGAAGAAAATTGCTTTTGAAGATAACCAATACACCATATGACTTACCCAAGAAACAATAAACTGACGAGTATACGGATTGTTCGTGTAAATACGTTCTTTCAGTAATAAGACAATATCTGTTAAGTCACAAACTTCAGTCTCCATGATAATTTCCTTTAAAAGTCTATCACATTGTAAGGCTGAGGGACGAACAGAGGAGTCAGAGTCCGATACACCCTAAATAAAACAAGACTGGAAATGACATTACCTAAATCCAATTAATAATAGAAAATAACTACCGAAACATAAAATTAGTATTTTCAACCAGTTACCACAAAACAAAAGTTGGATCAGCCGCATTTAAGATTATAGAAACTATATATTGTTAATCTAAAATTCAGTAAAATGTCCCATTGTTATATCTTGCTACTTAAACCACTCAGTCAGTCACAACGTAGGACTTGTACGTATACACATCGGTCCAAGTTGCTATATTCCATCAGGACAGAGATATGAGGTCGAATTCCAGAATATTAGAGGTAGTAGCAATAGCAGTGGTAATAGAAAAGAAGATCGAAGATACGACTCGAAAAGAAAACATAAATCAGTGAAATAAAAACAAAGAAAATTTGCGAGGAATTTAAAATCTCAGGACCTGGGGGACAACAGAAAATTAATGCATCTGCACTTATTGCAAACGATTTTGAGCCATGTCATTCAAAGTCTCTAAATATTGATTATGATAACCACACGGACCCCAACCAGGTAGTCTACACCTACAAAGATGTCTAAGTCCAGTTGTCAGTGACTGCATGGACCCGACCGTTGTTGCTACCTTGACGTGATGTTCGGGCTTGCGTATCGTGATGAAGAAACCGAGTTATACTTGCTGGAACAATCGGTTCCCAAAGTTCTACTATGCCAGGTAGGTCGGTTGAAGGACGGTAAGAACAAAAGTAGCAAACCCAAAGTCCGAAGGCGAAGTCGCACCGATGAATGTACAGAGGTGTGACAGCAGTAAGGTGTTTCCTTCAGATAACCAGCATAACAGCGATGCTCCCTTCTCACAAGAAGGGGTGGGGTTAGAAAAGGTCGACCCTAAAAATGCACACCTCGCCTTATCCCACGAATTTCCGTCTCCGGTGTGTTAGCGGGACATCGACTGGATTAAAGCATGCTCAATGTACGATTGCTTTGCTGCACGCTGATTGGCTAATTCTCATCCAATCAGCACTAGTCGATGCTTGGAGAATACTCTAGAATATTCTCATGTAAAAACTATAAATATACTGACGTTTTCCCTATTGTGCTTCTTACTTCCATCTAACCTTGTTATTTGGAATATAACCTCTTTCCTGTTCAACCGTGTTCTGATTTGGTGACTTGTTGAGTGAATCGGTGTCCGAGAATACTAAGCAATAGGAATAGCTGGGTCATAACCGTAAGAGAAAAATATAACACGGTGATAATGTCTCAATAAGTACCGAACTAGCACAAAAAAAGTATGTAACCAGCCTCAAGCAGTTGTCCCTTGGGCACTGCGGTCACGCTCTCAGGTCACTATGACCACCTCTAACACAATTTCCTTTTCAGGTACCTCCAGAAGAACCCTTACAAAGTGTGAGCAACCACGAAGTGATAACCGCCCTCATACCTCTAACAGAACTCAAGATCACTGTATTCATAATCAACCTCTCTCTTCAATTCCTATTACTCCTCCTATATCGACTTTCAACTCTAAACTTCCTCTTTTGGCTTCCTCCTCAAGTGTCACCATAGCCAACGATTCTAGTGCGCAAAACACTGTCCCAGGTCTACTGAGACCTCGCTCCAAACTACACATTGGAGCCTTCAACGTACGCACTCTATGTCAAACCATTCACCAGGCCTCCTTGGCTAAAACCCTAGAATCTCGTACCATTGATGTATGCTGTGTCTCCGAAACACACATACAGGATCCCAGTGTGGTCATTCACTTGACCTTACATCGACAAAAAGGGAAAGCCGACGAGATACACCCTACTTGTATCTGGCGACCAGATGGCTAGTTCTCGTGGACTGGTGTGTGTAGGCATAGCACTAAGTATGAGGGCGGAACAAGCACTTATTATTTATTTATTTATTTGAACACATAAATATTGGTACAAGAGAGCGCCAATATATATGCGCCACACAAAACAATGGGAATTCGAAGAGAAGAAGAAAAAAAAAAAACTAAGGAACGCAAAAGAAAAAGAGAGTAATGACGATAAGGTACAATCAGAAGAAATCTTTCAGGTAAAGGAGACACAACCACTTTTTAGAAAGAAAGTAAAAGAAGGTTACAGCAGGATCGCCACTGGCTTCTATTCTGAGCCATATCTGATAACGTCTCTAGCCACTGTGTAGCACCATCTCTCGGACCCCAGCCAGGGAGTCGTGAAGGACCAACACAAGCCAGTCCTTTGCAGCTTTCTTTCATGCCACGACACCATGTCATGCACTGACCACCTCTCCGCTTCTTCCAACCAGTCCCAGAGTCGGCAAATAATGCACGACGTGGAATTCTCTGGGACGACATTCGGAGAACATGTCCAAGCCACCGAAGTCGGTGTTTCAAGATGGTGACACCAATTGAGTTATCATCTCTGTGCCCGAACACACGATGCCGAACCTCTGCATTACTGACATGGTGTTGCCACTGGATGTCAGCAATCCTTCGGAGACAGCGATGATCGAACACAGAGAGTCGTCTAACGTCCTCAACTCGGAAAGGCCAGGTTTCACAAGCATAGAGCAAAACTGCTCTCACCGACGCGTTGTAGATCCGGCCTTTTACAGCCAGACTAACATCACGAAGGCGCCAAAGGTGGCCCAGATTGGCATAAGCCTCTCTGGCTTTCACTATTCGTGCATTGATCTCATCACTCACACCCCCACCAGCACTGATGCAGCTACCCAGATACACGAACTTCTCAACTACGTCTATCTGCTCACCATCCAGGAACAAGCACTACTAGTGTGGATCCCCGTTAACAGTCGTCTATGTGCTGTTCGGCTGAACGGCTCCGTAAGAACTCGGAAGGACAGGGACACACGTCGTTACCTTTTCGTCATTTCTGCCTATGCTCTCACCGACTGCAGCACGGATGAAGTAAAAGATGAATTTTACAGAAAGCTCTCTGAACTTCTTCAGAAAGCTAAACGTCCAGACATAGTACTCGTAGACGGTGACTTCAATGCCCAGATAGGTAGCACAAACCAAAAAGAAAGGCATTTAGGTGGGTATTTTGATATTCCGGCTCAGGGAACAGATAATGGTGATCATCTGCTGCAACTGTGCTCAGATAATCGTTTATTATTAGAAAACACGAATTTCAAGCATAAAGAGAGACATCGTCTAACATGGCAACACCCTACACCAAATCAACGATGGACTTAAATAGACCATACTGCCATCAGTCATCGTTGCAGAAGCTCGATAGAAGACTGCCACTAGTTCAAGAGTACATGTTTGGACTCTGATCATGCTCTAATACGAGCACGCATCTGCTTGCGCCTCACTGGACCCAGGGAAACCACATTAAGAATACCCATTAGAGTTAAACTCAGTGACAAGGAAGCCAAAAGTAGATTTCAGGAACAACTAAGGTCACACTTAGGTAGTTCTGAAAACGAGGCTGACCCAGATGTTGTTTGGAAAGATACACGGACAACTGTGGAAACAGTAACGACATCTATTAGTGATTCAAACCGAAGGGTTACGAAAAATCAATGGATTTCTACTAAGTCTATTGCATTGACAGATTCTCGTAAACTCATCCCATCAGGCCCCGAACACGATGAAGGGCGAAAACAAATCACATCTAGGTTAACCAAAGTGGACTGGCGGGTATAGGTATAGCACTACGTACGAGAGCAGACCAAGAACGATCGTGAGCAGTGATGGACAACGAAAGCAAAAGAGATGGAAAAGGCGGCGGCTATACGGAACACAAGACAGCTTTTCAGACTAGTAAAAGAAACTGGAATTAATAAGTCAAGTGTAAGTGAGAACATCTCGGAAAAAGACGACACTCTCATCTGCTCCCAGTCCAGACGTTTAGAACGATGGGCGGAATAATCTAAGGAGCAGTTCAGCTAAACTCCAGCTACTCTACAACTACCCACCATTCCCAGACAGTGTGAATGGAACATTGAAGTAGGTCTCCCAAATCTAGCTGAAGTTCAAAAGGCTATAGTTAATCTGAAATGAGGAAGGGCAGCTGGCCCAGATAGATTGGCTCTAGAGGTCTTTAAGTACGGTGGTCCAGTTTTGGTGGTTAAGTTGACTAATATTTTAGCTAAAATCTGGGGGTTGGACGTTATCTCATCTGACTGGTCACAATCACTTATCGTCCCAATATATAAGAGAGGGTTAAAATCATCCTGTGACAACCATAGAAGGATTAGTATGACTAACATAACATCTAACATACTAGCGTCAATAATTGTCGGTCGCCTAACTAAGACTCGTGAACTGCAAACACGAGAAAATCAGGCTGGCTTCAGACCTGGTCGTGGCTGCATCGACCACATATTCACCATTCGTCAGGTTCTAGAACATAGACAGTGTCTGTCATTGAAAGACGTACCTCAGAAGTAAATAAACCTTGTGAAGGCTCTTTACTCGAACACTACTAGTCGAGTCAGAGCTTATGGCAGACTGTCATCTGCTTTTGCAACCTCAAGTGGTGTCTGTCAAGGCTGTTCACTTTCTCCATTTTTGTGTAACTTCATCATAGACCTACTGATGGAAATAACGTTCTCGTTGACTGCATTTTTGGGAATTGATCTCCTACCAGGAGGTCAACTTATCGACTTATAATACTCAAATGAAATAGTCCTGTTTGGTTAAAACGCTGATCAAATGCAGTCTTCTGGTAGCACTGAGCAACTCTATACCAGAATGTTTGGAATGCGTTCCTCACCCTCTAAATACAAGTTGTTGCTTCAGGACTGGCCTGCATCAACACCTGAACTAAGGATAGGGAGTGAAGTTGTCGTTTGGCTTTCGCCAACTTACGTCACCTATGGCGAAGGCGAGATATCCGTCTATTAATTAAGGGACCAGTATACTTCGCGGCAGTTTGTTCCGTTCTACTTTACGGCTGCGAAATGTGGCAATTAAGAGTAGAAGATCCTCGTAAGCTACTAGTATTTGACCACAGATGCCTTAGAAAAACTGCTCGTATATGCTAGGACCACTGGGTAAGTAATAGTGAAGTTAGACACAGGGTATCAGGGAATGGTGGTAAATCAGTTGATGAGGTTGTGAATCTTCATAGACTGAGATGGTTGGGCCACGTGTTACGTATGCCTGAACACCGTTTACCACGGCGCGTAATGCTGACTAGTGTTGGAGACGGCTGGAAGAAAGACAGGGGTGGCCAAACCGAAACTCGACATCAGTCCTTGAAGTCACTAACTTCTGGTCTAAGCCATGTTCGCAGATGCAGACTACTTAATTGGGGTCTGCGTGACCATTGTAACCAATGGTTGGAGACTCTGTGACATGGCTCAGAATCTATCACAATGGTGTCGGTGTATACACTCTGTCTTGCCTTAAGCTATGAGATTATTATCGCTTCATATCTTTCTACTAACTAATTCTTTCTTCCTGTACTATATCCTTATTGCAATCTTTCTTTTATGTATTACCACAACTGAATTAACTACTTTTATGAATCCGGTGCTCATCATGCCTTGCTAATGCGGTATGGCAACTTGGACCGATGCATATATGTGCCTGGTCCTACGTTAAAGCTGACTGCACGGACCGACGCCATGTTTTAATTTTGTCACTACTAGTTTTTCTCAGTCTGCTCCTGCACCAGAAAACATCGCCGTCGATAAATAAATAAATAAATAATATATATATATATATATATATATATATATATATATATATTTCTCCCCAGAATGTATTAAATGACCAGTATCATAAACATCAGTATTTAAAAATCTATCACGAAATCCTACAGATGGTAATGCTCTGAAAATGTAGTTGGAGTTTCGCTATACTTCAAGCAAACTGAAAACAATTACAAGTGCATCTTCCCATTAACGAATATGATATACAATAATCCAGTAATCATTCTATGCAATCGAATTCACCCCACTGACTAGGCTTTTCATAGAAATCACAACTAAAATATCTAGTTTAGTATACCATGAACGACTATCCTTTTAAATTAAAATTAAGATAATGAGAAATGATTACGACAATATTAAAATGATATGAAGCTACGTATGAAAACTGATGCACATAACGCGAGGAAAATTTCGCAGACACATCAAAATTTGTCACAATACTTATCTGATGCCCTTACTCCAAAGACCAAATTGCAAGGTCAGAATTATGCCCTAGTATTAAAATGTTTAAGAATTTATTTTCCCAGTATGAACTTGTGCTTAGCTTTGAGTTGTACTTTTAATATGTGGGGGCTAATGATATAAAATAGCTCTCCCAACCAAAGTAGTTGGAGCAGCAAGAAAACCTATCGGCAAGTGGCTTTATCAAAGTTTACAAAATTGCCAGGGGTCACATTTCGCGAGAGTTTAACCGGTCACTTGAACGAATAGTGGCCAAATAATCACTAATTTAATATACCGATAGTCAACTGATTAGGCATCTCAAGGATCATCATCGTTTCAGTTCAAGGGATCAATGAAATGATTTCCTGAGTGAGTTGACCAAATATTCCAGAATAGGTAGTTGATCAACAGCACTAAGCTTTTATTTCCACTGATGTGACACCTGAACTACATACAGTCTCGTATAAAAATCTAACTCTATCTACAAATGTATTTGAGAAAAGAAAAAATGTATGATACATATATGTACAGCAAAAAGCGAGACGTACTCTTAGTTATCAAGAAAGCAATATCAATATTTTGAATTAACCTGACTCACTCGACTAATGGCATCAAGCACATCGCTCAAATAATTTAACGTCTCTTTTCTAGTTATTTTCATCACATTGAAAAGGGCTTCACATGCATAATGTCGCACGCGTGGGTCGTTATCATGGAATGTGCGAATTATAGGTAAAATTATTGGTCCATGAAAAAAACGTGCGTCCTAAATAGGTTGCAATATCCAGTAACATACAACTGCGTTACCTCATTTAATCCGATTGCTACAGAAGCCAGACCAAATAAACCACCTTTTCGAGTATGAGGGTTGGCAGACTGAATAAAGTCCTGGCTGAAGTATCCAATGATTCGAGAAATATCTGAAAGCTTATCTTGACTAATATAATCCTTGACAACTCTATGTTCACTGTCAGTACGCAATACGAATTACCTTTCGATTTCTTGAGATGCTAATTTGCGTTTATCAAAAAGCTTATCCACAAGGTTCTTTACACAGCTGGACGAAAGTGGGGCATAATCGCGATCCATGGTTGTAGTACCTACAGAAGAAAATGTGGTGAAGCTATAATTTATGGACGACCTTTGAGCAACGTTAGGATGACCTTGAAAACGCCCACCTACTTACCAGGGTTAAATGAGGGTTGTATATTTGTGTGAGGAATTAAGATTAGGATTTAAAGTTGGATGTCAGGGTTAGGAATTCGATTTGATGTTTTTATCACGGACCGACATCAGCTATAATAGTAATTAGCCAAATGAGTAAATGAATTTCGCTCCAAAATCCAAGATCCGCTATCTTGAATTTGATTGGTACGTTCATAAATTAGTCTCGCCTAAAAATTTAAAACACCCGAAACCGAAATATATGTATAGTTAGAGGAAGGAACAATGTTTACAGAAGCTAACAAACAAAAAGATGAGAAACAATAACTAAAATTGGTACTAATTCATTATGCATATTAGTACTAATATGCATAATGAGTAGTTATCGCACGTGCAATAACTATTTATACAAAATTGCCATCTTCGACTGAAAACCCAAGTGCAAAAACTTTACAACCTTTTGAACGAGTGAATAACATTGTTTTTATTGTATGTAAACACTAGCAGTTAATTAACTCGCTCCTGACCTATTGTTCAGTTGCTTTTAAAAGTTAAATGAGTTTAGGAAAATTAAACGGAAAGCAGATATCAAGGCAAAAACACAGAATTTATTTATGTACTAAAAAAGCTACAGTATTAAAGTATATAGACGGACCAATCAGATTTCCGGTCGGAATTTGTTCTTACACAATTGCTAATGTTACGTCATGATGAGAACCACATTCCCAATCTCCATATCATGGAGAAATTTTGGGAAAAAACGCAAAAATCTGTATTGCACTGTTTTTTGGACAGACAGTTAATAACCGGTGCATTCTTAAAAATTTTAAAGATGAAATTGCAATCAATAAATATGATTTTTGGATATTATCATGAACTTCGGTTACGAGTACATTGTCGATGTTGAGGTTTTGTTTTAGTATGCCAAACAGACACGAAAATTGTCGGCTCCACGCCACTTTTTCAAAACTCTCACTCCATGCATGTGAGTTATTTATACTGTCCAAACCTTCGATCGATGCACATGTTCAGTCTGACTGCAGCTAATTGTTTCTTTTAGACTAATAATCCAAAGTGTAATGAAAGTGATAAAAGACGGGTTACAGTCAACAGAGCGTTAAACTTGATGATCAACCTTCAACAAAAAGTTGAGGAGGTTAAGATCTGAATTTGAGAAGTAACAGTCAACGACCACTGACTATGAAAACTACAGTTCGTTGGTGTGGAAGAAGTGTAGAATGCCGTAGCTACAAAGCGGTGTAGCAGTATTGTCCCAAAATCATCCACTGCCTCATGTGGTTACTTCTAGTGTGCACAGGGTACAGCAAACGGTGTAGTCTAGGCTTTTTATTAACAAATGCGACTAACGAAATGTCTCCACATGTTGTCGAAATTTTGAATTTTGACATTTTGAACTCACTTACAGCGAAGTAAGTACCTATTGAATAAATGTCAATAAAACAGTTCATCGAAAACAAAGCTTTTCTCATTACCGCTTCCATCCATTTTAATGGAAGTTAGTAAACGGTAGTTTGGAGTTAATGTAAACATGATAACAAAAGGTTGTACAATGATGACACCAAAATGATTCTGAAAGCAATCAGTTATCTGTCTAAAAAGATGGATAAATTGGCTACTTACGTTAAGAGCATATACATGGGTGCGAAGGACAGGTGCAGCGAAAACCCAGACACTTCAAGCTTCGCATCCCAATTGAAACACCTGAGAAGCATGCAGTTTTGAAGCTGCTTTGGAGGAGTTCACGTTTCGTGATCAGCTCGTAAGTTGTAACAGGTGTTTAAAAAAAATTTAAGTGGTCAGATTGTCCGAGATCGTATGCAACGATATCCCGAAATCAATCAGAGCATGTCCAGCTTACGTGCTGAATCCGGAACCGACAATCATGGAACTAACAGTAAATTAGATATCAGTAATTACCGATTCTACAGGACGATTCAAAGTAGGTACACATCACAGCACTAATTTATTTGTAGATATTCTATGTCAACAGTTCCTGGGTGCAACACAAGCCATGGATGTTGCAAACAGGCTTTCTTACACGACTCAAGAAATAAGGTAAATTGCCGTGGATGGAGATCCAAAGATAGGATTAGCCTAATGCACTTTATATATGTGACAAATACTGGTTTCTGTTTGTATATTAGTTTCTGATAAACATTTATACGGAAATTATTTCTCGTCCATCTCATTTTCGGCTGGCTTCGCAAGTGTTAATAAACGTAACTCTAAGCTTTTTATTCAGACTACATTATTGTTATACCGTTGGTACGTAATCAACGATTCATAAGTTGGATGATTGCCATCATATTTGTTTGTTTACTAAAGAGTAACTTTTTTTCTTTCTACAGAATATTGTGAATGAAAGTTCAACATCTACATAACGTACTTCTCCAAAACACATGATTAATTATTGGGAGTTGGAAGAAGTTATGTATTAATGGATAATTTATACTTTACTAAAGTTTAACAAATATTTTCATGTGTGACGAATCAGCCTTTTAATTACAACAGTGCTGATTTATCGCGACATATTGGTTTTTTTAATACCGATTGCAGTTAAATTGCTCTTGTACTGAGTTTACTGTGCTAAGTTAACAGGAAAAAATCGGAATACATTAATAGAAACTTTTGGATTGTTACTTCTTAAGTTGCCAGGCTTTTCTCTGATATCAGTTGAAAATTGTGAACAAATATTTTGTTAACACAGTAAATTTCGGGAATTTCCCTGGAATACTACGTGCCCAAAAGTTTCTATTCATGCGTTCCATTTTTCCTTGTTAACTTTTCACAGTAAACGCAGTAGCAGAACAATTCAACTACAAATAGTAACAAGAACCGATCTGTCGCGATAAATCAGAATTGGGGAAATTTTTGGGTTTTTGTGCCATTTCCCCAAAATTTTCTACAGCGGCTTCCCCAAAATGTGTAAAAGTTTCGCTCAAATCGGGGGACCGGGATACTTCAAAACCTTCGTTAATAACGTTAGGAATGTATGCAAATTATAACTCTATCGCTCTTTGCAACATAAACCGTTTAACAACCAAACATTTGTTGGCCATACACATATTCTGCCTCCACCTATATGGCTACTAATGATAGATAGACAATACTTTTAAATGACCCCGGGGCGAAAACCTCTTGGCGTCCAACATTCAGTAGATTTGTCTATAGCTTGAAAGCACTCAGTTTTGGAATCAGAAAATAAAGCTTCAAATTTATTTATAATTGATTTCGATGTTTGGCTGTACGCAAAGCAGAAATAGAAAAGTAGCGCAAAAAAAGCGTCACGATACCACAGTGTCGTTACTTTAAAAACAAAGACACCGCTAACTACAACCTTACGGATAGATTCCAACTACTAACATTTATATGCATCGTCAGCAGTAAAAGTGGGCTTTCTTAAGAAAGTCTATACAAAATAGGCTATTCACGGATTATTGATCTGTCGAGCCAAAAATGATGATACGTTCAGGTTATAATACTTCTTATCTTTCTGTACTTTGTAGGTGGTAAATTCAAGGCTCCTAGGTGAGTTGAGTAAGGTTATTCCGGATTCAATGCTTACTAAGCGGTTCTTCTTTGAGCACGTTTCAGAAGATTGATATCCCTTCTTAAGATATGGGGGTATGATACAGATCTTTAAAACTAAGTCTTCAGTAATTACTGAAAATACTAAATGATTAAATATTCACGCAACCTGATTTTAAGGGACGTAAGCTAGAGACTGAGCATGCTTGATGTTTGAGAATATCAATGGTAGGAAGCACGTAGTGTAAGATCCATTTTGAATGCCTTGTGTGTTTGTGAAAATCCCTCCATGTATATACTTGCACTTTGTTCCTATTGATCTTCTTAGTTGTACATTGTTAACTTTTGGACTACATTTGAATTGTTAATCTTTGTATTTTATTATTGTTTTTGTTTTTACCACACCTTCACTAATTCCCCATGTTTCTTCCCGAATTGCACTTATGTTGTTTTACTTTGTACTAAGTCTGAGCGGCAGCCATTTTGGTTGGTTCCTGCCTTTGATTGCTTTACCTGTGTTGACTGGAATTGTGCATTTTGGTTGTGAATTGAAGCACTCTTCCAGAGTTGAAAACACTCTGTGTTATAGAGCGACCAATTATTACCTTTTGAACGAATCTGTACGTGATCTATCCAGACAGGATAGAATAACATTTATTTGTGGTGATTGGTAATTTTCTTGCATTCTTTATCAACTTTCTTATTTATTGTAGTTTAGACTTGATCAATTAAACAATTATTGTTTGGATAGCTGTGTGGTTATATTTGTTTAGGTAATAATGTATACTTAAATTTATGATAAATTATAGAACCGCTATCTTACCCAATTACCTTGTTTTGGTTTCAAACGGGCGAGGGCGCGTATCGAACTTATCCAGGCAGCTGTCCAGCAGTCCAAACGTGGTTTGGATCCTACACGTAGAACATCATATAGAGTGATTTTCATGCTGTTTATTGTGGTTAGGGATGGGATGCTGAATCATTTAGAAAAAAAGTGGATAGAATATTACCTATATTCACAGCTAGCACTCTACATTTTCTGGTATTGAGAGAGCAGATTTTCAGCACCCTATTAGTACATCTTATCCAAGTTATATTAAGCGAATAAGATATGAGTGAACAAGTATATCTCATCAGGTCTTAAATGATCTACATGTAGCATAGTTCACAAGACTAGAGTGGCAGACAAATAACCAGAAAAAGAGGTGGTTAGGGAGACGCGTCTTGTAGTACTCTATATGTCACCAATAAACAATCAGATATGACGGAGCATAAACTTTTGGCTTCTGATCTTTTCCATATTTATTCCAAAAGCCACTTCATCGGGTACATACTAATGCTCACTTACATCAGATTTACTCAAAGAAGTTGATCATCAACCGTTTCAAATACCTTGGAAAAATCTCCGAGACCTAAGTGCACAGA